ACAGTTACATTATTCATTTAATATTTTCAACTTTTGATTAGTTTTCCTATTGTAAATTTGTAGAATAGATACAAAGCTACCTCTTTTTGATCATGTGAGCTGGTGAAACAATTCTGATATAGTTATACAAAGCTGTCAACCAAATGTGTAGCAAATTTTAGCCAATCAGCCAATCAGATTGCAAGAAAAAGGCTGTAGGATTAATGAGGATTAAATGAATATATTGCAATTCTTGAATGTGTGCCAGGTTTGTAGTGCAGGTTTTCTAAACTATGAACCAGGTTTCAAGATCAGGTATAACACAATCAAGAAAATTCAAAACAAACATCTGTTTTGTTAAGAATCACTTATTTCTCAAAAAAATCAGCATAAAAAATCATCTTTAATGCTCTAATAAAAGTTTAATTAGAAAATTTTACTAAATAAACTACTCTTCTTTGATTTTAACCCTAATTCTAATCCTATCATAAATGAACATTAAAGGATTGCTGCTGTGCCATAAACCTGACACACATTCAAGAATTGTAAATATATTATAAGATGAGGTAATGCATTAATTTCATCTGTTTTATTTACTTATGTTTTATAAAAAGTTAATCTATCTAAGCATTTTAAAAAAGTATTATAAAATGTATAAAAAAAATTGATTATCCTATTGTTATACAATCAATAAATATTTCCATATTTGGGATAGTTCCTCCTACTGGTTATATGATTTACAATTATTTTGTATGACCTATATTAATATAAAAATTTATATATATATAAAAATTACTCAGATTGCTGAGTCATAAATTTTTTGCTATATTATGAAAACCAAAAAAATTTTTTTATATAGCTTATTTTGCATGATTTTTTAGTCAATCATAAATATTATTTTATTAACATATCACTAAATTTTAATAATCACAAAATTCCTATTAAAATTTTTTGATTCAGCAATTACCAATTTATGACAATAATAATGTTTTTTACCAACTTCTAACTTTTTTATTAATTAGCAGATGTATATCTGTTCTAAATTCTGTGACAAATTAAAAATTTGCCAAGTCTTTTTATTTTTACTTCAACTCTCAAAAACTATATTAATATTTTTGAACCTTCAATCTGTTGTCATTTTGAAAAGTTGTCGTAAACTATTTTGGCTTATTTAAAACTAATAAGTCTAATAATATTGACTTCAACTAATTTTGACATATATAATTTTATAGAACAGTTGGTTTAGTCTAGTCAGATTTATTTTGATCCAGTCTTGGTCAGGTTTTTAATAACTTATCGCTATTACTATGACCTTAAGATTTAACTAGTTTAGACTATTGTAGTCTGTTTTAATATATAAAAAATAGATTCAGATTACACTTCTAATCCTAATCTATCTATTATATTAAAATACAATATGTGTAACACTTGCTTTTTTCTAAATCAGTTCGAATAGCTAAAAATACACTTTTTTCTGGATTAGTCCGAATAGCAAAAATTATATAGATAAGTTAGTAAAAACACAATATATCGATATTATTTTTAATAAAATTTTTTGATTAAACAAAAATAACTTAGCAAATACTTCATTAAATTTAATAAATTTTTTTAAAATGAATTCTATAAGTTTTTTAGAATTGTTTTAAAATTTTTTTTATTAAATTTGATAAAGTTTTGTTAAGTTATCTTTGTTTAAAGTTTTAAAAAAATTTATTTAAAAAAAATATGGTGTTCTCTACTAATTTATATAATTTAAACATGTATGTCTATACCATTAAAAATTGACATATATTATCTGAAGCTAGACTAATAAATTCAAAAAAAAAACTTTAAACAGTTATTTGTTACTACTACAGAATGTTATTATAGAAAATTAATATTAAATACAAAAATTAGATTCAAGTATATATAAGTATAAAACTATTTACTAATAATTGATCATAATATTTTTATTAAAATATATTTGTGTCCAAAGCAAAACAAAAGTTACTTTGCTAGTATATATATTGTTACAAAATAGATTATAAGTATAGCATAGTATATTATATTATTAGTAGTTATTATATATTCATTATTGTATTTTATATTATATTTATTATTAGTTATTAGTATAGTTATATTATAGTATATAGTAGTTAGATAATAGGATCTTAATTGGCTGTTAAAAGTGTGATACAGATACATAACATTGAGTAATATCTATGATGTCACTATTGTCTTATAAATTTCAAGTATCTCTACCCAAGTTTTATATATCTTAGTACAATTTACTGTGTCAAATACCACAGTACAAAAATCTCAAGTATCTTCAATACAATTTTCAAATGTCTCTACACAATCTCAAGTATCTTCAACACAATCCCCAAGTATTCTTGCATAATCTTAACTGTTCTTACATAGACTCAAGTATCTTGACACAAGTTTTAAGTGTTTCAAGTATAAATGACAAATATACACAAACATTGTCCCAACTATCTCTGTACAAACTCCACTTGTCTCTATATAATCTCCACTACTTCAAGTACAGTATCAAGAGATGTCACTCAAACTCCCACTACTTTTACTAAATAAAAAGATATATAAAAGATATCTTTTCCTCTTCTTTGCCAATTCTAAGTTTCTATACTTCAACCCAGATATAATGATCTTTTAATTATAAAATGTGATATTCTTTCTCTAGGGTAATTCCTACAAACAAGATTGTCACTATATGTGTTGTTAATAAAAAGTTAATTTATATAATGTTACTATCTTAACCTATTTGCTTGCTGCTATGTAATAAAATAAATTACTATACCTCTACTCTGTATATATTTATAATAGTTAATTACTGTACTAGGTGATCTTATTACTTAGTTGTATTATACCAAGAAGGCTACAATCCTGTAACAATATATTTTTTTAAAATTCTGAACTGGTCTTAAGGCTTTCAGATTTATTACATTTTATCAACTTTAAAACTTATAATTGTAATGGACTAATAGACTTTATATTATTATATAATTGAACATACATGACTCTTCATATAATAAGCAATTAAGGTTTTTAAAAAAATTCATATTCAGATCACTCTTTCCACTGATCCTTTTTTACAAATTTAGTCAGAATACAAAATCATAAATAACTCAACAAACAGTATAGGAAACATACAGAAAAACATTAAGAAAAAAGAAGCAGACAGGCAAAGCACATAAGTAGAATACAAAGTTGCAGCAAAAGAAGTAAATCATAAAACATAGCAACTTTGACTTTCAAAGCAAGCCTTTTACACCTCAATAGAAACTTTCCACATATAATTACTGCTAAATATTATAAATTAATCACTTATATTATTCTCAACTGTAGCTTTTCTTACTATACATGTGTGCCTAAATTGCCTATCTTAATAAAAAAGTAATTACGGCATTTATGCAGCCGAAATTAGTCTTATATAGTACTGAAATTAATTTTCATATATAGCGAAATTATTGCCGAAATTTTTTGAACTCTTTTCATCAAAATACATCATATAGTATAGTCATTTCTGAGGGTTTCATATAAAAAATTTAGCAATGCCAAAATGTTTGCCGAGAATACTTTTTTTCAAAAATAATTTAGGCACACATGTATATTTCTTACCAAACCTCCGATAAAATTCTAACGCAAGTATAAACTTTAAAGTTATGTTATTAATACATTACTTTGAATATTTAATCACCGATATAGATTATTTAAACATAATATAATGGCTCAAAGCATATATTTTTCCCTTTACACATATATTATTCACATAACTGAAAAAAGCTCACTGCTCATGATAGGCGTTAATCTAGTTATTGCATCAAACTTGAATAATGTAACGATATAATGAAAGAAAATTGATTTAATTGCAATTAATAGCAATTATTTCGTCATTAATTGGGTTTCAATTAATTTTATGATAATTTTAATTGATTTTAATTGTATGACATATGACAAAAATTAATTGCAATTAATTTTTTGGTAGGCCTGTCTATAGTCATAGAAATAATTTCACCGAATGTTGCTACAACATTACATCACTTGTCCAGTACAACTGAATAGGTCCGGAATTAAGCAATATATTCAAGAGATCAGAATTTAACGTTAATAGCATATAGTCAAGCTAAGGCCAGACCAACTGGATTATGTGTTTTACATTACCCCCCCCCCCCCCCTCTCCCTCATAGTAAAAAAATTTTTGGTAAATATATATAGAACATGGGTTATTTCGGAAAAATTTTTTATAGTTACGGAACATTTCGGAAAAAAATTTTTTTGAAAATTTTTTTTTTTAAAATTTTACTATGTAAACCCCGTTAGCCCCCCCCCTCTCTCTCTCAAAGTGGAGAGGGGGGTAATGTAAAACACATAATCCAATTGGTCTGGCCTAAGCTCTATTGATTCAAAATTCTCAATTTTGATTAGTCAATCTACATGATCTTAATTTGACAAGAGGTTTTACCGGGTATTATTGGGCCTGATTGGGCTTTCTCACAAAGCCCAATTCTGCCCCAGTATTTATCGAGCCCAGCCTGAACCCGGCCCAAATAATAACAAGCTCAAAAATATGAGCCCGAATTAGGCCCAGGCCCGGCCCGGCCCACAATTTTCCGGGTTTAGCCCGGCCCATTCCGTACCCTAATTGTAGAAGTTGTTGCATCCATTATACACTCAGAGAAGGAACCCGTGGCCATAATAAAGTATGTAAATTGTAGAAATCATAAGAAACTGAATGAAATTTCGATCAGGATAAAAAAAAAAGAGTTAGCGTTAGTGATGCTTAACGTTAATAGAGATGAACAATGTACATTATCGTTATCGATCGACGGACATGTCCACCCTGTCAAGGGCAACTGTATATCAATACGTACAGTATATGCAGTTACTGCATATATATAAATATATATATTATATATATTTATATGCAATTACTGACGTACATCAAACCAAACTACTAGTAAATTCACTTTGAAGAGGGCCAATGACCTTATTAAATTCTCTAGCCATTAAAATGTCAAAAAATGCCAGGGTGAATGTAATTGGTGCTGGTGTTATTGGCCTTACCTCTGCATTACTTCTTCAAAGAAATGGTTATCAAGTTAAGATTCTTGCTAAACATTTTCCTGGAGATTTAAGTATTAATTATACTAGTCCTTGGGCTGGTGCCGGTTGGCTTCCAAGTCTTATTCTTGAGAAAAGATTACAAGGTAACAACCATTATTATCACTATTTACTTTTGAATTCATTTAAATAACTTGTTTTTTTTAGAATTTCAAGCTGTAGGTTTCAAAATATTTTGGACATTAAGCGAAATTCCTGATACCGGCGTAAAGAAGTTTCTTCTCTTAGATTTTCTTGAATCCGAACCTAAATTTGAAAATGGTGAATGTTGGATAAAAAACGTAGTTCCTGATGTGTGTAGACATGTAAATTAATAGATAAAATAATAAAAAGAATAGTTATTCTTATCATCATTTTAATATTTATAGTTTAAAATTTTACCGCATCAAAATCTTCCTAAAGATGTTAAGTTTGGAGTTTCTTATACAACAGGTATTCATCATGATTGTCACTATTATTATTATTAACATATAATATTTATTGCCTAATTTCGTTTTGATAGTTACAATCAATGTCGATAAATATTTATATTGGTTATTAAATCAATTTACTTCTGCCGGTGGTAAAACTCAACGAATTTACATTAATCATATAAATGAATTAATGGAAAACAATAATGTAGATGTCATAGTGAATTGCACTGGTATTGGAGCTAAAACATTAGGTGGGGTAGATGATCTAAATGTATTTCCTTCGAGAGGTCAAACAATATTGGCTTGTGCTCCTCATATTAAAAAAGTTTATAATTGTTATGGTATGTTTATTCACTCATCACAGTTTTTATTAAACGAGAAATTAATCATTTATCTATAAATGCTCAAGGAGGTAAAGAATTTACTTATGTTATTCCCAGAGATAATGGCAATATTATGTTGGGTGCATCTATAGAAGTTAATAACATGTAAGTTGTCATTTTAGCTATATAAATATAATATTAAATAGTAATTTTAATTTTAATTCATTAGTAATGAAAAACCTGATCCAGATATTACAAAATCAATTATTAAACGATGTGTTGGACTCGTTCCTGAATTAATACCAAATGATAGTGGGAATAATGCATCCTTACAAAATTTGAAAATAATAAGTCATTATGTTGGATTAAGACCCTCAAGAAAAGGGGGTATTAGAATTGAAATCGAATCAAGGAAAAATGAAAAAGGAAGAGAAATTATTATTTTGCATAACTATGGTCATGATGCACATGGTATTTAGCAAAAATTGTTAAAAATATTTATTTGGTTTACTTTTAATTATTTATTTCTAAATAATTCAAATTGATTTTAGGTTATTCTTTTAGTTGGGGAACATGTCAAAAAGCATTAGAATTGCTTGAATAAATTTTATTTTCAAAATTATAGTAAAATATTTCAAGAATATTTGATGAATAAATAGATCCAAAACCTAATAATAGGTTGCTTTTTTATTTTTTTTTTAATAGTGGTTTTTCAAGAAGTTTTAAATCTTAAAAAAAAAATAATTCAAAAGTTATATCTTCTCAAGTAAGAAAAGAATAATATTTATTGTATTTTATTTGAATAAAATAATAATTAGTTGAATACCCAACTTGTTTTTGTATTTTATCTTAGTAATAAACTGCTTATATCTAAATTAAAGTTTGTATATAAAAATATTAAGATATTTCAGAAAGATTTTATTATCTTAAAATTCTACTTAAGACAAAATTGTTGTATTAAAATTGAATTGCTTTAGTAATCAAAAAATCTTTTTATAAATAAACATTATCTTTTGGCTGATATAATTAATAGTAAAAATAATTAATAAATAAGAGTTTGATTAAAGATAAAAATTATAGTTTTAGGATCCTAATTTTTATATCTCCAGATTTTTTTTTTTTACTTTATACAAATGCCATTGGCTTAACTTTATTAATTTCATAAATTTCGGAAGTGATACATATTGTGAGAGTACAACTAGCCACACGTACAATTTTAGGTTGTCTATTTTAAGTAGTCCGCCTGAAGGTTCTACACTAGCTGCCATGCCTGAAATCTCTTAGAAGATTCCCTATTTAAACTCTCTGGCCCTATCCCACTTATCGCAAATATTACTCTTATATAGTTAGCTACCACCCCGTGCTACTCCACATTGGGAGGCACCCAAGCTGACATTAGTCGCAAACTTTACTATTATGGGCCCAGGTCTTACCCAGATAAGTCTCACTTCAACGCCCCCTAATAGATGGGTGTCACGATACCCAACTATGCTACGCTATATCCCCATTTTAGCTTGCATATACCCTCATTCGATGTTCGTACGAACCCGGTTCCAGCCGTGGCCCTCCACCAGTTTAGACTTCTTTGTTCTTCCGAATGTTTTACGAAGCAGATCCTCCCAATCTAGTTAGCCGCCAAGCGAAGTTGGTGTTGCCGTAACACCCAATGTCACGGACTTACTCGCACCTACTCGATCTACATCTTCGTACTCAGAAATCTTTGCCAGATCAAGCGTTAACCGGCATGACCGTCGAAATCCGTACTACTTCACCTAACTCGGGATTTCTACCATGCAGGTCCTCTGCTCGTAGATCTTATCTCGATTTATTCATGTAATGCAACTCCAACATTCCGTCACACTTCCAATGTCCGAACAACATTGGTGCAACGTGATTTACAGGGTTACAACCCCCAGAAACAGACAGAGTTTACCGTAAGTTGGATGGATACAAGGTTTGAGAAATTATTCAAATTGTCGACAGTGGGATTGGTGATCCGACAACCTATCCACTACACTAGATCGCCGGACCTTATATCTCCAGATTTAATAATTATACTTCCTTATAAAATTGCAATTTTTTTATTTTTAAATAAAGATATCTTAGCAACTTCATAATTAAATTCAGTAAAATTTTTTTATTTTAATTCTACAAATCTGTAAAATTCAAGCAAAAAAAACTTTATTAAATTTAAATAAGTAGTTGTCAAGATATTTTTACTCAAAGTTAGTAAATAATTTAAAATATCTATCAAAATTAAATATATCTAAAATTTTAAAGCTTTGAATAAAGATATTTCAACAACTACTAGACACATTTGATAAAAATTTTTTATTTTAATTCTATAAATTTGTAGAATTCAAATAAAAAAAAGTTTATCAGATTTAAGGGTAGAGTATATGATTTTCAAATTATATATAAAACTTTTGGTAAATTTTTATTTAATTAAAAATAGAAAAATA